GGGGGGGGGGGGGGGGGGGGGGGAGGAGGGGGAAAAAAATCCTCTCTACTAACTTGAATTTACATTAACAATTTATAGGAAATTACCTGCCAAGGCAGCAACGTGTGATTCTGGAATTCCTGGTTCAGTTCCTTTGATTTTGTCTCTTGCTCACTTAATGGGAAGAAACTACCTTTCTATCTTCTATCAATCAAACAATCAAACTGTCTTATTCAATCCCTGCAGGAGATGGATGTACATTTCATGTCTTCCTGATTATTTTCTGAAAAATGCCCGGGTTTTCACAGGGCGCAAACTGTCACAAAAATGACCAAGGTTGTTGAGCCCTTCGTTTCGGAGGCTAAAAAACACACACAGAACGGTTGCGAGGAATTGGGTCTGTCTAAAGTCTAATGAAAAGAAGGATTTGGGGGGAGACGTGATAGCGGTCTTCCAATATTTGAGGGGCTCCTACAAAGATGAGGAGGGGGGTCAAACTATTTTCCAAAGCACGGATAGAAACTAATCGAGAAGAGAAGCGACCCAGAACTAAGAAGAAATTTCCCGACAGTGAGAACGATTAATCAGTGAAACGGCTTCCCAAAGGTGCTTTTTTTTTCAGGAGGTTTGACCCTCTCAGGTGACCCTGAGGACCAAGATAAACCTCCAAGTGCATCCAGGACCCTTTAAAAGGATGCAATATAAATCCTTCCATTCCCCACTAGCATCCAGTCAGAGCTGAAGTAGCTTCTTGGATGAGAAGTGAAACTTATTCAAAGAAAAACCACCTCTTGAAAAAACACTTTTGGGACACCTATGATCTGGAGGACGGAGGATCTCCTTTAGCTATTCACTTTGGGATGAATGCCCTTCGAATGGTGTGGGGAGCACGAACGGATTTCCAGAAAAATATGGCAGACTTACAGGAATCATTTGCATCACTCAGGTGGACCCTGAGGACACAGACACACCTCCAAGTGGCCTCAACGACCCTCTCAAAGGATGCAAATGACCATCCTTTCTGCAAGGAGCGTAAATCCTTCCATCCCTCACCATCCCGTCAGAGCTGAAGAAGCTCCTTGGATGAGAAGCGAAACATCTTTAAAAAGAAAGTCCAGTTGCCTCCTGCAAAAAAACAATCTTGGGACAATCTCGACCTGGAGGACGGAGCATCTCTACAGACTCCAACACTGGAGGATTTGGAGAACAGATTGGACAATCATTTATGTCTGGGATGGTATAAGGTCAACTCTTCGAGCGGAGGGGATGAACTAGACGACCAGCCAGGTCCCTTCCAGCTCTATCCTTACTCCTTGCAGAAGTTGAAATTCCAGTAATGTAAATATTAGAACCAAGCGCAGGAATATCTTTCTTTTTCCACCTCCTTAGCCTGCTAACCTCCCAGCTAGGAGGGGAGAGCTCCAGAAAAAAAGGGCAAGAGACAAGAGCAGGGGGTCGACGTGCAAATCTCAGACCAATGGCAGAGGAGCAGAGGCAGCTTCTAAAACGATGACCAGGTCTAGTGTTAAGGTGTTAAGGTGAATGAATATATGTATGTATGTATATGTATATGTACACACACACACGCTAGCTCGATACCCGTGCTTCACTACGAAACTAGGTGATCAAACTTAGTTTTTGGGGAGGAAAATAAGAGGGGGAATAAAATTCTGCCTCTGCCTACCAGCATCCATGGGTATTCATCTGGCTAGCGTCCTGTCAGTGTGTGAGAGTTGAGGGCTGTTTGGAAACTGAAGCAGTCTTTGCTGCGTGAACAAGGAGGAGACAGCAAGGAGCCTGGGCGTGGCTTAGCTCAACTGTCCTGGACTAAAGCTGCTTGCTGCTGCTGCGAAACCGAAACTCTTCTCCTCTGCTTGTGTTTTGCCTTTGGAAGAGATTTCTTCTCAGGTGGGGAGGGGGAGTAGAACTCCTTAGCATCAGAGCGTGTTAATAATGATGATGTAGGTAATACTCTTAAATGCTCTGATGGTCATTTCAAGAAATCCTTGCTTAGTGTGAGCCCCTCGAAGCCAAGGCGAACATACATGGCAAATTTCAAGTTTGTTGGCTTTACGGTTCTGGAGATTTTGTGATGAGGCGTGGGTGATATTTTGCTTTTGTATGTATGTATGTATGCATGTATGTATGTATGTGCATATCTAATAATAAGCTGCTTGGAAAATTTAGCGAAGGGGAAAAAAGCTAAAAAAAAGAAGGCAAAAAGCAAGAATCGACCCAGACAGACAAAAAAACTCAGTTCCTTTTTGGGACAAAGGGGGTCTTGCAGTGTTGTCCCCCCACACACACACACACATACATCCACGCCCCCCACTCCTTCCAACATTTGCCTAAGCTCTGCCCGCTGCCAATGGCGGTACATTACCGAAGGCAGCCGCTCTCCAGCTTAATGCGGACAGCCTCCCTTGATCTCGGCTGTCTCCTGGCTGTGTTCCCGCCAAGCCTCTCCCTTCCTTCCTTCCCGCGGAGTCATTAAAACAGCGAGTGTCAGCTGTGGAGATTAAGGCAGAGGACACCCAACACCTGAGCCCCGTGGTGGGGACCGGGTGGGGGGGGGGGGGTGGGGCGTGGGGATCACCCCCCCCCCCCGCCACTAATGAAGGCCGGATTCATATGCGGCTTGTCAGCGCTTCCTGGGCGTCTCTTGGCAGCCCCGGATCGGCCTAAATGAGACTGATGGCTTGACAGCTCTTGAGCGAGATGGAGGAGGCAAGCTGGCCCTTCCAAAATTATTGGGGGGGGGGAGCTGCTGGGGAAGGGGTTTCGGGCCACGCGGCTGCGAGGACCCTCAGCGCTCCCCGAAGCGGAGCCTTCACGAACAAGACGCCAGCCCTCTGCAGGGATTGGAGGGAGGAAAGACAACCAATATTGTGTGCGTGTGTGTGTGTGTGTGTGTGTTTTTTTTCTCCAAAAGCTGAAGCTTGGGTCTCCCAGGTAGCGCTTTCTGCCTTCCAGCAAGCAGGTGTGCGGCCTCCCTCTCTCAAGCGTCCAGGGAGCTTTAGGGCGGTGGGGATAGTCAGGTTGCCGTTTTTGGCAACGTCTCGCCATTCTGCCGGAGCTGCCCTCTTTCTCCATCTTGGGAGGGAGGGAGGGAGGGAGGAAGGAAGGAAGGAAGGAAGGTAGGAAGGTAGGTAGGTAGGTAGGTAGGAAGGAACGAAGGAAGGAAGGTAGGTAGGTAGGAAGGTAGGTAGGTAGGTAGGTAGGAAGGAAGGAAGGAAGGAAGGAAGGAAGGAAGGTAGGTAGGTAGGAAGGAAGGTAGGTAGGTAGGTAGGAAGGAAGGAAGGAAGGAAGGAAGTTAGGTAGGAAGGAAGGAACGAAGGTAGGTAGGTAGGAAGGAACGAAGGAACGAAGGAAGGTGGGAAGGAAGGAAGGTAGGTAGGTAGGAAGGTAGGAAGGAAGGAAAGGGAAGGAAAGGGAAGGGAAGGGAAAGGAGGAAGGAAGGAAGGAAGGAAGGAAGGAAGGAAGGAAGGAAGGAA